CAAATCAAAAGAACATAGTAGTCTACATATAGATCTCAATTAGAAAATCTGTTTATTAAATTATAAACTAAAATCTATACATATTACAAATATATTTCAGTAGTATGTTACACCTCATTTATTTATAAAAAAAAATAGTCTATTTTAAGCAATAACGGTTTACCTTAAAGTATAAACATTTCTATAAACTTTGTTTTATTCATCTAATTATATTATTTTTCCTGAATAATAAATATTATTAACAATAAAGTTAACCTAAACCTAGATCTTATATCATGTGTTCTGTATAATCAACATAAACATTACTAGTTATATTAATCAACAATGGAACTATGAAGAAAAAAACAACAACATGATTATCCCTTTGAACTCAAACTGAATATATTTGTGAATATAAAGTAATATATACCAAATCAAATATACAAACTATCAGCTATTGTGTATACAATTCTGTTTATATATGGTTAAATATGGTATGATATATCTGTGTTTTACATTAGCTTGAGAAATACCACTAACAAAAACAACAACAACAACATTGTGATTTTTAAACATTTTATGAACTGAAATCACATGATAGATAGTGGTTAGCAGTGAAATTCAGGACGTACGTTTCGTCCTATATGGGACTTATCAACTGGATGTACCTGCATTCCAGAGTTGATGTTCACTTCAGGAATTGAACCAAGTAATATTCACTTCAAACGCTATCGCGTTATCCACTTACTTATCCTTGCTTAAAAACTTTATGACTTAAGGCTATATCCAGGTTATTCGCACAGGATACACATATGTCAAAAAGAGACTGATTAATTGCAGTCCTAAATCAAAATGGAAAGATATAAGTAAAACAACACCACGTAAATTTAAAATCAAATGGTTCCTAATTAATTCAGCCGGTACATTCTCCTATTTAATATCATTTTAATTGTGATTTAGGATGACAATTATTCATTAGTTTATTTATCTACTATGTATCTCTTCAGTGGTCTTTAAATTTCATTACATTTACAATAAAAATGTTTTTTTGAATGAAGTGATTCACCTCCAATCAATGAATTTAAGGTACTCTTCTCTCTAACAAATTTATTTCTAATAATAAATAAAGCATAATACCTATAGATCTTGATATAGGGAAATTGATTATGAACACAGTTATTTTGATTGCTGTTAGAGGTGTGAGGGTGGTTTTCAATTCCCAATTGCCAACACCGTGGAAGGGTTGTTCTAGAGGTACCCGAAGAGATTGGATTGGGGTAGCCCTAATGACCTGAGAGCGTGACTGCAGTGCCCAAGAGACAACTACTTAAGGTCGTTCACATACGACCTTCTTGTGAGCAATTTTCGTATGAGCTCCGTACTTGTTGAGACCTTACCATTGGAGGCGGGAATCCGTGTGATAAGGTGAGGTGTGCATTTTTAGGGTTGACCTTTCCTAACCCCACCCCTTTTTGTGAGAAGGCAGCATCGCTGTTGTGCTGGTTTTCTGAAAGAAACACCCTACTGCCGTCACACCTCTGTACATTCAGCAGTACGACTTCTCCCTCGGATCTTGGGTTTGCTGCTTTTAATCTTACCTCTCTTCAACCGACCTGCCTGGAATGGTAGGAACTTGAGGAACGATTGTTCCAGCCAATATAGCTCGGTTGGTCCATTACGATAGACAAGCCCGACCACCAGGTCAAGGTAGCAACAACGGTCGGGCGTGATATAGAGGGACTGACATCAATACTATCGGTGATATCTACCTTCTAACATAGCTAAACTCTATTAATCACAGATTCTTATTTGAACGTTGAGTATACTATTGAAAACTAATCACTTGTCAACATATAACTATCAATCGGAATAGAAGAATTTTCAAAATACACTTGAATCCTTTTTTAATTAAGCATATTGCTTATAGACACCATGTGTTTTCTTTACTTCCTTACTCTATCCATTCAACTTTGGTCATCAAACGTATGCTGTTCTAAAAAGAAAAATAACACTAATATTTACAGTTGATAAGAATTTGTTAAGTAAGCTTACACTATTCATTTAAAAGATGATGAAACTCATAGGTGACTTAACTGAATACGTTCAATTATTCAAACTAAATAACCTTGATTCTTTTTACTTTAATTTCCGCTTGAAATATTCTTTTACCTTGTGTCACAATATGTCTACTGTTTTTTTTCTTGCAATATTATCTGATACACATTCTATTTTTGATAGACAACAGTATTTCCCCATACACATAAATATCTATCACCACCGCGTATACAAAACTGGTGATATATGCGGTGGTGGAGAATATTTCTAGCTCAAGATGAGAATTTTGAGGGAGTTTTATTCTCTAGGGTGGATGATTTATTCGTAAAGCTTTCATTGTCTGCCTTGACAACATCATCAGCACACACTTCAGTAACAAGCGAATCAATAAAAATTCTCTACAGGTGATTGGATGCTTGTTTTGTTGACCTAGAATTTAGATGGTTATTGTTCATAGGTGTATGACAGTTGTTTACATATTTGTTTTGATTGTTTTCATTTCTAACCTTGGTGCTGTGTATCCTTTCCCCCTACCAGTTGATAGATCTAGTCAAGAGACAATGAAATTTCGCGATTTTGAGACGGCGAAGATTTTTAGCTCAGGAGAATAATTTGGGTGGAGTTTCGTTCTCTGAGCTGAATGGTTCGATCATGGAGCTTTCATCGTTCTTCTCAACGACACCATCAGCACAAACTTCAGTTAGAAGTGAAGTGTCCGAATTTCTTCACCTATGATTCACAGCTTGTCTTGTAGACCTCAATCGTGATTGGCTATTGTTGACCTTACCCTGTCATTGTTTGCTTCTTTATTTTGTATCTCCCACTATTGACTAGAGGGCGTCCACTTTGTCCGATGTAGAGTTTTTCGTAGTTGGGACAATTTATTTTGTAGATGATGTTCAGTTTTTCTTTCATCATTTCGTCCTTCGGTTTGCATATAATTGATTGAAATGATTTTTTGGTTTGTATGCTACACTCATTCCAAAATGCTTCAAAATCTCGTTGTAGTTTCTGATATGCCATTTACATATGCTAAGACAATCCGTTCGTTGGTTTCTGTACCGGATTTCTGATGCATCTGGTTGGTATTTTTGATGGAGTTGATTGGGTAGTTGTTCTTTTAAAAGATTATGTTTATATATATTTTTCATTTTACTGCGCTGTGTTTCTGTGTGTCCTCACCCTATTGAACAGAGTTAGTACGCAAGTGATTTTGTGAGCTATTGGGTTATCACTGCTGTAATTTAGAATTTAATCTGTGTGGGTCGGCTTCCGATATACTTGAGTCTCCAGTTTTCTTAGGTCGGTTCTGGTGATTAATACATTCAAGAATGGTAGTTTTTCGTTTGACTTGTTCCTTTGCAAACTTCATATTGTCGAAGACGTTGTTGATCAGATTGTAGGTGTTTTCCAGCTCGTCCTTTTTGATGATGACGAATGTCTCGCCTACATAATTAATCCAAATTTTTGGTTTGATTACTAATAAGATCCAGGCTTCCAGTCTCTGGATCACTGTTTCTACAATAAGTCCTGATATTGATGATCCCATCGGTTTTCCTTTCGTTTGTTCGTAGATTTTGTTGTTCAATTGGGAATATGTTGTTAAGCATAAATCGATGAGTTCTAGTAAACTTTGACTTTAAAGTTTCGTGTACTTTGAGAGATTTATGTCGTTGACGAGGAGCAGGGATAGGGTTTCCTTTGATAAACTTGATTCGATTGAGGTGAATAAGACTGTTATATCAAAGGATATCATCAGTCTATCGTCGTTGGTTTAAATGTTCGTAATTTTATCCAGGAATTGGATAGAGTGAATAAATGAATCCAGTAATTGTTTAAATATTCGTGAAATTTCTTTTAACAAATTGTACGTTAGCGTTTCGGGGAGTGCTACAATTGGACGTAGTGGGATGTTTGGTTTGTATATTTTCATGAAGGAATGTAATACGTTCTAAGGTAAACAATTCTTTCTACTTATGTTAATTATACAAAATCGATTTGGGAAAAGTCCCTCTGAAATGTAAGAGCTTTATAGACATTGTTTTGTTTTTTTCTCTATTGCGTAAGTGAAATATTGAGATCATTGAATCAATTACTTACTTATCGCTAATGAAGCATAGGCCACCGACCAGCATTCTCCAACCCACTCTTCGGCTTCCCTTTCCAGTTCTATCCAATTTTTGTTTATTCTTCTTATGTCTGTCTCCATTTCTCGACGTAATGTGTTCTTCCGTCTTCCTCTCCTCCTCCTTCGGCCTTGACGATCACATGTGAGGGCTTGTCTTGTGATGCAGTTCGATGTTCTCCTCAATGTGTGTCCTATCCACTTCCAGCACTTCTTCCTCATTTCTTTCTCCGCTGGTACCTGGTTTGTTCTCTCCCACAGTAAGTTGTCAGTGTCTAATAGTGTCTGGTCAACGGATCTGAAGTATTTTGCGTAGACAATTGTTAATAAACAGTTGTATCTTATGGATGATTGCCTTCGTTATTCTCCAAGTTTGTGCCCTATATAGTAGAACTGTTTTGACATTTGTATTGAAAATTCTAACCTTGGTGTTAGTCGACAGACAAATGTTTTGAGTTCCAGATGTTCTTCAATTGTAGAAATGGTACTCTTGGTTTGCCGATCCGCGTCTTCACATCTGCATCATATCCACCGTGTTCATCAATGATGCTACCCAGATATGTAATGGTTTTTATATGCTCCAAATCTTCTCCATCAAGTGTGATTCGACTGATGCCTACTGTGCTGTATTAGCAACTCTTGCTTTTCCTTCTGTTTATGTTAAGACCTACTGTTACTGGGCAACCCCATCTCCAGTAGAAAACTAACTCACCAGAAAAAAAGATAATTCAAATCATTGAATTAATTAATAATATTTATTATTATTATTATTATTATTATTATTATTATTATTATTAATCTTTATAATAATCCATATTATTTCATTTTTATTATATTACAGAATTGGATACATTGGACAATTACAATTTTGGATCCATTAAAGATTATAAATCATATGATAATCAAAATAAACGTTCAAAATTTCAAATCTTTTACGGTGATGAATATTTTGATACTGAATCTCCAGGTAAAACTCAAAATACATATGAAAACAACAACAACAACAATAATCAATTAATGAAATTCAATACTACTGATATTGAATCACATTATATATGGAGTTTAACCTTTTCTCAACCAGCATCACGTTATTATGAATTTAGACAAAAACTTGAAAAATTTATGATTTCATTAGAAAGTATTAATATCATACAATCCAATACTACTACTACTACTACTACTACTACTACTAATAATAATAATAATAATAATAATAATAATAATAATAGCAGCCCATTAACGTCTTATATTAAATTAAAAGGTACTATAAAAATAAAAAACATTTGTTATGATAAATCAGTTTATATACGTTTAACTAAAGATAATTGGAAAACTTTCATTGATTATCCAGCCATCTATAGTTCACAATTATCATCTAGTACATGGTCTAATACAAAACGTTATGATACATTTATATTTAATATTCTAATAGAATCAGATGAACAATCTTTTAATCCAAATGATAAAATTGAATTTGCTATTTGTTTTATTGCATTCAATAATAATAATCATAATGATAAAACAGAATATTGGGATAATAATAATAATGAAAATTATATTATAGAACAACGTAAACTTCATCCACATTTAATCAATATAATGAATATTAATAATTCACAATCATCTAATCAATCTAATATACAAACAAATCAATTATCGATAATCGATAAATCATCAAATAATAATAGTAATAATAATAATAATAATTGTACTATAGAATATAATATACCATCTTATACATTAGATTGTCGACCTAATTTTGATGGATTTACATCATTTACAAATTATAGAGCATGGAATCATTTCTCTGGTGAAACAAGTTATTATTAATTATTCTATAAATGAATGAATAGTGATTGATTTATTCTTGGTATAATTATGAGTATGATTATTATTATTACTTTTGTTTGTTTCGCCTTATTATTTTTCGTCTAATATTTCTTTGTATAATTATAAATGATAATAATTTATTAATTAATGAGAATAGCAATGAAAAAACATTTTTTTTTCAAATTATTTTTAATGAATAATTCCAATCGATTTCAAAGTTCCCCCTTTTTTTCTTTTCTTTTCTTTTTCTTTTTGTTTTTTTGTTTTGTTTTACCGAGGAAAAAAAAACAAAACAATAAACTGCTAATTTTTTTTTATTCTTTGTCATGTAGATGCCCTAATATTGTTTCCCGCCACCCCGTTCTTTTTTAAAAAAAATCTTCTTTGTTCTTTATTCATTTCTTTTTTTTTAATGTTCTTTCTTATTTTGTATTTGAATGTGTTTTTTTTCTCCTTCATATTGTAGTTCAAATAGAAAATAAACGAATTTTGTTTTTAGTAGGGTTTTTTTTGTTTTGTTTATATTTAATCGTATAAGGTTCAATAATTGATGGAAACAAAACAACAACAACAACAAAAAATACTAGTCAAAATTCAATTAATCTCTTGTTCCACAAGTTGAAATCATGAGTCAGTTGAAGCTAGACCACCATGGAAAATCTGGAAGAACTGGACGGCCGTTTCGTCCTGGTATGGGACTCCTCAGCAGTGAGAAGTCGTTACCAGTGGAGTTCAACAAGGTCTATTGTGAGATAGGAACTCACCGAAAACAATGGTGTACGGTGGCGCAACTTCGTGGATTGGTTGAAGTTAGACATTAACACCGTTGGATGCCGGCTCAGTGGTCTAATGGTTGAGTGCTCGCGCGCGAAACCAGTAGGTCCTGTGTTCGAATCCCTCGAGGAGGGTTCGTGGATGCTTACTGCTGAGGAGTCCCATACTCGGACGAAACGGCCGTCCAGTACTTCCAGGTTTTCAATGGTGGTCTAGCTTCAACTGACTCATGATTTCAACTTGTGAAATTTCTAAAAATCTCCACAAAACACATTCTGATAATAATAATAATCTCTTGTTGTTATGCTTAGGGGAAATATTTGAACTTGTCCAATTAGAGATTGATTAAAGATCGATCTAATCGATTGCTATATTATGAACTTGAATTAGAAATGTTTTATTCACATTAAATACACTAATTTATCTATGCATATGATTATGCTATGAAATTTATAATAGGTCAATTTGTTTAGTGTATTTCAGGTGTGTATATAATGTTTACTTGTTAATATAAAGAGCTGTAAGTTCACATTGCCATCTTAATAATACTAAATCTAATAAAATACTTATACTTATGTGTATGATAGGAGTGCGTGAATCCTGGATTTTTATATTTCTTGTGTATGTGTAACTCATACCAGGAAAGAAGAAACTAGTAACATGTCCCTTAGGGATTAATGACATATGATCTCCACTGATAACACATATTACTCCAGGGTATGTGTGACGCTAAATTAAAACAAAATAGCAATATTCACAAGAGTTTACAAACCTTCATAGTTGAAACAGGGAATATGATGTTTGATTAGTGTTATATTTGAATTCATGTTACTTTACATTTCTATATCCTTTTAATTTCTTAGATCATTGGTGAGCACTGAAGACAACTTTTATACTAGGACAAAATAATGACTCCTAATTTTTGATCAATCCTGTGATAAGATTCATAGAGTCATTAAAATTCAAAGAGTTTTTCTTGAGATGATGGAGACCTTTCACTCAGATGGACGATTTTGGTGGAGTTTTGTTCTCTGAGCTGAATGGTTTGGTCGTGGAGCTTTAATTGTTCCTCCAAACGAAATCAACGGCACAAACTTTAGATAGAAGTGAAGTATCCGAATTTCTCCACATGTGATTAACTGTCTGTTTTGTCGAATTCGATTTTGATTGGTTAATACTGACCTTTAACCTTTCATTGTCTAAAGCGTTATTTCGATCTGATTGTTGATCCCACATTTATTCACAATTTTTCCAATGGTGTTGTTTAGAAAAAAAATAAAAGCTCCGTGATTAAAACACTCAGCTCAGAAGCGAAACCCCACCAGAGCTTTTATACACTAGTATTCTCCAACAGAACACATCCGTGAATTCACACTGGATCAAACTTTGAAGATGAATTATTTTCAAATTTTATTAGAACACCATTCCACATCGTATTATGCGCCAAGTGGTTTAACTAGTTTTATGTTTTAAGATGTAAACAAGATCACAGGAAGAATTTTATATATAATTCGTAACGATAAGTTACTTTGTTGCATCAAATGACTAATGATCGAAGCTAAAACATCGTGAAAACTTCGGATTATTGGACTTGCGATTCGTCCTATTATAGGGCTTTTCAGAAACGCATGTTCACAACCCCATTGCTGGTAATAGAAATTAGTACCTCTGATCTAGCATACTGACGCTTAACCTTCTTGCGAAATTGAATAATCATGCACGTGAATTATTATTGGTACAATGTTGTTAAATTGTTGCTTGCATTCAACCGTATGAATGACTTGTGATTTCTCTTACAATAGTAGTGTAACCTTGATCATAATCAGCTTATAAAGTATTGTAGTGTTTTTGAATGAAATAAAGCTAACTCAGAACTCACATGTACAGTGCACTTTACCTCTGTAAATACACACTTTATGTATGAATCAGTACCTTGTGATTAAGTAAACACCATTGAAGAAAACTGCATTGTTAACAAACCATTATCTATTTTTAAGCTAATATTTTGTTAATGTTAATTTCATCTTTTATAATCAGGCCTATCTTAGCACATGATTGTGTTCCATTAATTATTTTGTAAGATTCATTAATAGAACAATGTTTTTCGGACCATATTTAATCACCTTGAACAAGCTGATTATATAATAAGTCTGGTACTGTGTTCTTTCTTAATGAAGAAATGTGAATATTACTTCGCCCCCCAAATGCCCTGGTACGGCCGAGGGTGGGGAGAGTCCGCTCTCTCTCTCTCTCTATCACAACACTAACATGGCCATGCATATACAGCCACCGTCAGCGTAGTTCTGCTCACTGCCTTCTCTCTAGGGGGGTGTTGTTTAACGAATTAAGAGGACGAAAAGCGGATGTATGGCGCTTTAACCGGGTTAGTGGATATGAGGGATCCACCTAAGGAAGTTGTAAAACCCTGATTCCAAACCGTTGGTGCACATGGGCTCCAGTATCCTGAGGGAAAAAAAGGTGTATGAATCTATTGTTAGTCATTGACTACCATGGGACTGAAGCTCTTGACGTTGCTCCACTGCCTTCTGGGTTAAACCTGTAGGTCAAAGGCTCAGGGTGTGGCCCCTTAGGAAAACTACCTGTTTTGGTTTAGGCATTCGATCAATATTGCAGTCCTCACACAAATGTGTATTTTGTGCCTCCTTGTACCAATGTTTGTGTTTAAATAAATAAACAGAATATTACTGTTAGTTATGCAAAAACCGATCTCAAAAATCCGTATAAGACAAATGACACAACGTGTTGTTTAATACATTCTATATATTTGCATGACGTATAACTCTAGGATTGCTTGTTTAACCATCGATACAATGATTAGTGTTCGGAAGCAAAATACAGTACTCTTTTTGTATTGAGCAGAGAATTATTAGTTCAAAAATGAACTTATTGAACTATAAATACTAATCAGATTTAAGGTATTTAAGAAATACAATTGCAATAAATCAGTAGGAGTGTGGTGCGTGCTACTTATATTGACATAAGTAGTATATAACACGAGTCAGGAATGTAATGTCTGGCAGCAGAAAATTGGGAAGATCAAGAAAGGAAGAACGGGAATAGTAAGTAATTAGTATAGAAGTGCAAGAACAATGAAGTGCGAGACAATTATTGAACATTTGGCTAATTAAGTATTATATTATGGTTTTTCTATTTTACCAAGTAACTCTGTAATGTTGTGCTAAATATAATTTGGTTGTCCTTACCTGTGTTCTCCTTCCCTATAGGAGGAGAGTGTACTGAATTCACTTGCTATTTTTTTAAAGCTGACTTTATAATCGACACTACTGTGAATAAAATTACCAGTTTCAAGCATCTTTATTTATTTCTTGTGAGATTTAACAAGGTTATCGGTACTTTTGAAATCTCATACTAATTTTCCTACTAATATGATAACTTCACATAAAGAGCGTATAACCCAAATATAACCAAGATCTATTACCTAATCACAAACAAATATGTTCAAATTACAAAACTTTTTCAGTCGATGAAGTTAGTTATAATTCAATTCTTAGTATATCTAACAATACGAACGTTGTCCTCCTAATTCTGAATATTTCTTACTCCTTTGTCAGTCTATTTAACCCCCAAATGCCCTGATATGACCGAGAGTATGGAGAGTCCGCTCTCCCTCTCCAAATGCTCTCACATGACCACGCGTATATAGCCTGTGCCAGAGAAGTCCCACTCACTACCTTCTCGTACCACGGGTGTTGTTTACGAAAATGGCGCTTTAACCGGATTCCAAACCAATGGTGTAAATGGACTCCAGTGTCCTGGAAGGAAAAAAGACGTATGAATCAATTATTGACCACCGGCTACCATGGGATTGCATCTCTATACGATGCTTTACTGCCTTGTGGATCAGACCTTCAGGTCGGGGGCTCGGGGTGTGGCCTCCTAAGGAAACCACCTGTTTCGGTTTGGGCACCCGGGCAGTATCCCAGCCCTCACATTTATGAGATTTGTGTGACGCATATGTATTTGGTGCCTCCTTGTACCAATATCTATGTGTTAAAATAAATAAATAAAAAATAAATAAAAGTGAAATATTTTACTTACTCGAAATATTAACAAACATAAACTTGAACTATGTAAAAATGTATCCTTATTGATCGAACTAGGAATTCTCCTAATCGATAATTACAAGTAACTTTCAAATCATACATAACAATCTTTATATATATAAATCACTTTTGTTTAAGGTT